TAAAAGTTCCCTTTTACAGTTCACATTGTAATAAAGTATAGCAGCAGCTCTTGATCTGAATTGGAAGCATTTCATTTGGGTCCTAATTACAACTTAAGGATGGAGGCATGCTTCAGGAAAGAAAGCACCAGTTCCAATTTATTATTATATCTGCTGTCTCAGGAGTGCAGAGTATGGAAATGCATAGTGGTTTAGAATCACGATACAATTTTAATGCTTAAAGACCTAACCCCCGTATGAAGGAAAATAAAAGCTGCAGAGAAGTTAACTAAGTTGCCAGAATCCACATTTCTGGTTTCCTCTTCCAAGGACTGAGCTGTTTAAACGTAATTCTTACACCTTAAATATTCTTTTTCTGTTTTCTAATTTTCTATATGTAATAATGTAGCTGCAGGACAGATACACCACTCACTGCGTGTCAGACACAGTGACCTCTGTTCCCTGGACACGAAAGGCTCCCTCCTGTTCAGGACTTCTACCTGGAAAGTTCTTCCCCCCAGCACTTGCAGGGCTGTATCCTTCCTGTCATGCGGGTCTAAGCTCAGATAATTCTAGCTCAGAGAGGTCTTCCTTGACCGCCCAATCTGCAGCAGCCCTTCTGTAGTCATTCTTCACCACATTACCCTGTTTACGTATGTAGGTAGATAAGTATTTTACCCTATTTTTTTTTTATTGCGGCATATTATGGGGGAACAGATTTTAAGGTTTCAATAAATGCCCTCCCCCCCCCACAAGTCTGAGTTTCCAGCATGACCATCCCCCAGATGGTGCACATCTCACTCCTTATGTATATATATACACGCCCCCCTCCCCCCTGCCCAATACCCTATTACTGTAGTACCTATGTGTCCACTTAGGTGCTACTCAGTTAATACCAGTTTGCTGGAGAATATATCTGGTGCTTGTTTTTCCATTCTTGTTTACCCTATTTTTTAATCACAACCCAAAATTGTCTTTAGTTGCTGATCTCCTTAGAGTCTCTGCAACTGGATATAAACTTCATGAGAGCAGGGACTTATGGGTCTTATTCACCACTTTATGCTTTTTACCTAAAACAATGACTAGCAGAGAGGGTAGTTCAAACAAGCATCTGTTTACTAAGTAAACATAATATTGCATGATGTTACAACACTACATTCCTTGAAACAAAATGGGATGTTAAAAATTACCAGCACTTTTCAGATGCAATCTCAAAAACATGTGAACACAATTAACAGTATCTGAAGAGTTGAAGCAATTCTTTAACTACAAAGAAGTTCAGTTCATAGTAGTTAAGGAAATCCTTTCCTACATCAAACCTCCACTTAAACGTCAGTATGAATATTTTTATCAGTATCTACATTTATTTATCTAACACCACTTCTATCTAAAGCAAATTGTCAGGCCAACTGTCTTAGAGTAGCTTACAACCTCACAGGAAGTTTTCATCAAATATTCCTTTCATACATAAAACATTTCAACAAAATAAAGAAGGTAGTAATGGAATATGGCATTATATACCTGATAAATTCTTTCCACTTCAGTGAGACTTTCAGTGTTGTGATTGGGGGTAAAAAGTGGATTATAACAATCTGAATAAACTGCTCCCAAATCTCCACTGCCCTCTTCTATAGAAATCTAAGCCCAAACCAGGTCCATATGCTCAAAACTGCTAGTCCCCCACTACGAATGTGGATAAAACTAAACTCTACTAGAGCAGCCCAAGTGACTAGGCCAAGGATGGGTCACCAAGCCAAAGGCAACCATGTGTGCATGGAACATACATGATTAGGAGATCAACTGCTTTACAACTGGATTGGTGCAAATTATGCCCAAGAAAGAGCTTCAAACTGGATGGTGGTTAAACTGACCCTCTCAGACCCCTTTATTTTGGGAAGCATCAATGCTAGGTAATCGAGGGGAAGGGTGTATCCTGAATGATACTGAGCTGCTGTTGTGGCTACTGATGAGATCTGCTCTCTATTCTAGACCATGTCACATTTCCTTATATCTTTGCCCAAACCTGTTATGAAAAATAATCTGAGTATGTGTCTTCCTTGCACCATAAAGAGTAAATTCATCCATCCATGACCCTAAAATCTTCTGACTATACATGAAATGAGGGAAAAATTATTTTCACTCTTAGCTGTAAGTGTGTCAAAGAAGTCCCTGTAGACAAGAATGTCAGAAGAATAGCTGTCCTCAATGCTGTGGGCACACAAAAAATAAAACTGGTACATATAATTCATTGGAAAGTAACCCCCATTCCTGTTTCTCTGACTTTAAAGCATCCATATTACTGTGTAAACAAATAACAAGAGCTAAAACAATGCATAAGATTGGAGCACGGACCAGTATATGTCTGAAAAATATATATAGTAGTGCTTTGATTTGGCAAGTCACCAATCACAAAACATATTTGGTTCCATAAATCAGTACAACCAATGAAAAACATATATAATTTTGCATAGCTACTATGTACCAGGTATAGAGTTAGGTGTTAGAATGAATAAATCATAGATCCCACTCTCAAGAAACTTAGCTGGAGGCCAAAACAAATAAGAGAAAAAAGATTCTCTGAATCCAATGCAGCGAGTCCCATAAAAGGGATAGGCACCCAGTGTTCTAAGTGATATTGCAGGTAGTCCCCCCTTTTTCCAATGGCACATTCCTAGAATACGCATCTTAATGGAGTTTGCCAAAGAAAGATGCTATTTTCCTATTGGGATTGGCAACAGATAAACTGGGCTAAATAAATAGTACCAAATAAACTGGCAAACGATATGTTCAAAAAAAGTTTCAACAACTGGAAGGGTCTATGTTACTATAAAAGAAAAAGTTAGGCTGGGCATGGTGGCTCCTACCTATAATCCTAGCACTTTGGGAGGCCAAGGAGGATCACCTGAGGCCAGGAGTTCAAGACCAGCCTGAGTACAAGCAAGACCCCCATCTCTACAATAAAATAGAAAAATTAGCTAGGTGTGGTGGCTCATGCCTGTAGTCCCAGCTGCTCAGGAGGCTGAGATAGGAGGATCACTTGAGCCCAGGAGTTGGAGGTTGCAGTGAGCTATCATGATGCCACAGTACTCTAGCCCAGGAGACAGAGTGAGACCCTGTCTCCCCAAAAATAAAAAAAGGAAAAAAATAAAAAGTTAAGCACCATGTCCAATAAAAACATACAAATTCAACATGTTTCACAAGGGTTTTCAAGATTCAAAGAAGATACAAGAGGAATCAAACGATTATTAAGAAGTGTTACAAACTGACCAAAAATCAACTTAAATTGTTTTATGATCTTGTCTCTTTCTAGAAAAATTTGAGGCAGTGCTTTCTTTTTTTCTCAACACATTTCCCTGTGCTAGCAGGAGCACTTGAAATCATTCCATTGGCTCTGAAGCTGACCTCACAATACTGACTTGATTTTTAATAATCATTCAGAGTTGACGTCAGTGGTGGCATCTTTTAAAGGCAAGGCCACACCACGGTTTCAGAAGTGTGATAAATGGATTTAGAACCCAGGTTTCAGAATCCAATTGGGTTTCAAATCCTGAATGTGGCACTTACTGCCACGTGATCCTGGGCATTTCTTAACCACTCTGAGTTTCAATTTCCCCATGTGGAAAACAGAAACGATACCTACCTCACCACTGTTAAAATTACGAAATGTATGAGAAGTATCTTAAAAGGTGTAAGTATTCAATAGATGGTGGCTGTCGCTAATACTATTATCATTATCCTTACCTTTCTCCTAACCCCTTGGTTTATCCCAAGTTAAATGTTCAAGTAGTACAGAATTAGATTTAATAAAGGCCAACAGTAAAAAAAAAATAAAAAAAAAACCACAAAAAAAACACCCAACAGCTTAATAAAATGTTTTAAAAATAAAACCCTCCCACAACCACCCAATGATAACCACTACTACATTTTGGGATGATCTATGCAGTCTTCTTTCCCACAAATGAACAGTTCTCTGCAGAATTACTGAAACTAGAATATTGGCTACATGCCACCAGATACCAGTAGGAAAGGCAGAGACATCGAAAACAAGCAGTAAACTGAGAAGATAAACTAAGTGGAGTGCTGGAATGTCCACAGAACAAAAACTCCACCAAGCTGTACAACAACGTGAATGCGCTTAATGGCACTGAACTGTGCGTTTAAAAATTGTTAAAATTATACATTTTATGTTACATATCTTTTACCACAATAATACAAAACAAAAAGCCAAACAAAAACTCCAAGAAGCCAGGGCTTGGTCCACTTTGTATCTTTAGAACCTAGAATGTGTCAGCACATTAGATTCAATCAGTATTCACTGATATAAAAGAAAATAAGTGATAGGATCGGTGTACCTTTTTCTAGTTTCCATCTCAGTCAAATCTGAAGAATAAGGGTAGTAAGAAGATAACTTAAATATTGCTTACAAGAAACATGCCTTGATGGTTTACTACAGGTACTACATCAGCCTGTTTCCTGCATCTTTCCATTCTAGCGGAAAGAATCCCTTTGTCTCAAACTAAAAGCAAAAGGAAAGGGCTTCACCAATTGTTTCCACAGAGAAGCAACATGGCAGGCTGACATCTGACTGATGGTTGACATGGACGGAGGGTCTCCTTAGGGTCAGCCCAGGCTCATTAAGGTTGCCACGGCCAACCAGCTCAGAGGGACTTGATTCATCAGCAAGACTTGCAGACTTCTGTATTCATATTTCATAGCTATAGTCAGAATACAAAACTGTCACATCTAAAACTGTAATTCAAAAATTCATACTATGAAATTCCAATATGCTTTTGGTTTTAGAATTTATTTACATCTTTGCTAGACTAAGACAAAGACAACTAATCTTAGTTATCAATGCCTACTATGGGCAGCCCTTCAGAGTAGGCTACAGGGATTCACAGATGAGTAACTAATGGTTAAGACAGGTCAGGGTACCAGCTTACATGTACTTTCCTGATTGTTATTACTTTAGGTACACTAGACAGATGAAAATCTTGTTTTTTGAACCTTTTTAAACTCACCTGTTGCATTAGCACTGGAGTTTTGTTGAGGCACAGAATTCTCTTTGTTTGTAGATGCTATAAAAATAAAGAAATATCCTGTTATGAAAGAACATTTAATATTTAACTAAGAACACTGGCAATATGTTCTTTTCTGCCTGTGGGAGGTGGTAGTGTGGGGGAGGGTAGATTATTCCACAGGAAGTTTTACCTTTGCCTCTCTTGCTATGAAAAGTATCATGAGGCTGTCAGTAAATATGGGACTATAACATTGGGTTTTTAAACACAGAAAACCTCTCATTTATGTAACAGATGCTTAAACAGTACTACTATGTGCCAGCCACTGAATGGAACAGCTTTGCCAAAGTTCATTCACCTACATGAAGACAGAGCAATTGGTGATGGATGAACTAATTTCTGCTACTGTCAATTCTGCTCTTCTGAGTGGAGTAGACCATTTCAGGAGGGGTCCCTTAATTCACGGGTGTCTCTAGATCTTGTACCACCAATATCTCTAACTTCATACAATAGAAGGATGAAATGGATAGGATTTTCATATTTAATTGCAAGCCTTTCTCAGTATGATTCTTTTAATTTTTTAACACTTTAAGATTTAGGGGAAAAAATTAGGAGAATTTTATGCCCTAGTTAAGTAACTTTTCGGAAGTGGCTTATTCACCTTGAGTCTTTGTATAATGATGATTAAATACATATGCCACATGGGAAGAGAACAAGTGTATTATTGTGTACTTTTCACAGATAAACCCTCCCCCACTAAAAACAAACTCTCAAAGTGCAAAGAAAAGCAGTAAAACTTTGAAGATGCTATCTTTACTGCTTGTGCAAATTTCTTCCTCTTGATGTGGCATCCATTTATCACAAAAGGATATGGTATAAGATTAAACTTGAAAAAGAACAAAGTCGATAGACTATACAGATGTATTTAGCAGCAGGTATCAAATAATTGCCAACATTATGAAGTGCTTACTACAAGCGAGGCCTGTGGGAAGCATGTTATCTGCATTAGCTCATCTAACCCTCTCAACAATTCTCAGACAGGAGTACTGTTTTGCAGGGACAGGAACTGAGGCCCAGAGAAGGCCACCCAGCTAGTAAGGGCAGAGTCTGTATTTGGACCAGGCTGTTTGATTCCAAAGTAGATGTGAGTGCCAAAATGGAACTGTTGACTTTCTATAAATCTGCTCCTCCCCAAATTTTCCCAACTGTTGCATTACCAGTTGCTCAACTGCCACACCAAGAGGTCATCCTTTGATATCACTCTCTTCCTCACCTCACCTCACCTTCTAATCTATTAGCAACCGTTCATTCCCACCATCCAAACAGATCTAGAATCCACCTTCTTATCTCCATTCACATTGACTATCATCTTTTGCCTGGACTGAGGGAAGCAAAGGACTGTTTTTGTCTCCCTGATAATTGTCACTTCCATGCAATGATTTCTCGGTACTCTATTTGAACGCTTGTCATTTCCAAGCTACTTCAATCCTGGGACTTTACAGTTACAAAAGTCAATAAAGTCCTTTCTTTCCCCTAAGGTTGTTCAAGGTAGGTTCCTTTCACTTGCCACCAAGAGTAACTAGTAGCTTCCCCTCCCATTCCTGTCTCTAATTAGACTACAAAAAAATCTATCCTGTTTGCTGATTTTGCTAACTTGGTCATAGTCTCCCCCTCTTCCTCAAACTGATATTTATAATACTATGAAGCAGACTGTGAATATTTTTAAAAGCAGAATTTCAATGTTTATTCTTCTATAATTTTCTAGGCAATTGCAGTATTGTGAAATAAAAACTTTATTTCAAAAGCCAACATGATCCTACATGGCTTAGTGGTGAAATGGTCGAGAATTTGGATTCTGATCTGAAATCAAACATGTATTAGTTGTTTTACTTTGAATAAGTTAAATTACTTCTAAGCCTCAGCTTACTCATCTATAAAACAGGGATAATACTGTGGGAATCCAATGGGATGACTTCTGAACCTCAATTAGTACAGTAGACAGGAAATGTGCCCAGTAATAATTAGCTATGTAAGTTATAGTACGATTGTTAAAAATCACCATATTTTATAATGATACTTTATATAGATCATACACTGTATATGTATGAAGAATAGGATAACAGTTACTTGCTTTTTTGAGAAATCTTCTATTGAACCTTCTTTTAGTCTAGTTTCAAGGTGACATTACAGTCTGTAGAAATGAATTCCACCTCACATTGGTTATACTAGTTCATGAATTCAGGGCTCATCTTTAGTAGAGCATTTCAAGTTTTCCAAATAGCACTAACCTCTAGTGAGACATTAATAAACAGAACAGTGAGTGTTAAAATAGGGCCAAAAAAAAAAATCTGTGTTATGAGGGCAAAAGAAAAAAGAGCAAGGGCACTCACACTTTCTCTAACCAGTAATTCATTAGGTTTACTGTCACAAAAAAATAAAGCAACAAACTTTTAAAAATGGAGACCTTCCTCCATAAATACCAGCATAAAAGTGACACCAAGATGTACAATGAACATGACTTTACCAATCACTCCTTTCTTAAATGATCTCAAAACTAGGTCTGCAAAGCCAGTCTGTCACATGCAAACAAAAAGAAATTCAGCAAAACGAACAAAAATTGTTATTTAATTCACCCAGATTATTCTAGCAAAAGCAGGTGTTAGGCCTGAATCGTCTGGATTTACAAACTGCCTGTTCTCTTGCTAGATAAAACTAAGCTGAGGCTAAACACACAACGGATGAATAGAATTTGAAACCATGAAAAACTTGGGTCACTTAAAGTAACTTACCCTACTTTACTGACCATTACCCAACTTTTATAATAGCTGACAAAGGAAAACAGGATCTACCTAGCAAATCCCAGCTTCCTGGCCTCATCCAAAAAGGATTTTTAAAAAAGTGGCCAAGGGCCTAAAAGGGAAACAAACTGGCCCCTGCACAGAAGTGTCAACATCATTTTGTTAGGACCTTATTGACTACGTCGTGGGCGTCTGCAGATCACGCATCTGCGACCTGAAGGCTGAGGCGCGCCAGGCCGGGGTTCTGGGCACCGGAAGGCGGAGGGCGCCCCCCAACCCCAGCACCAGCCTCACCTGCGCCGCGGGAGCAGGGCGCGCTCCCTAAACGCCGCCAACTAGCCTCATCAGCCCCGAAGACGAATTTAAGCGTCGGGGGCGCCTTAACGACTGCAGGTCATTTGGTTAGTACTGCACGATTCGACGAGGAGATGCCGGGGAAACGCCTGAGCAGTTCCCCAACTAACTGGGAGACATGTTTCCACAGGGATCGGTAGACATATTTTTCAAACCACCTAATCTTGTTTCCCAACCGAAGCCCTGGATAAATGCTAACCTACAAGAAACATTAACCTGAGGTAAAGGCTACAGAAAGAACTCGAGCCTTCCGCTGAGGGCCCGCCCTTCGGGTAACTCAACAGGTTACACACGCACCCCTCCTGGCCTGCGCCCGCCGCTTCCAGAAAAAAAAAAAAAGAGGGGCCTGGCCGGGCATTTTCGTCAGCAGGCGGCCCCCGGACAAGTGGGGGACCAGTCCAAGCCTCAGTTTCCCCAGCCCCATCCGGTCACCTCCGGGTCCGCCCCGTGCGTTCAGTCCGGCCAGAGACACGCAGAACTTTCCGTGCGAGACCGCAACTTGGAAAGCCAAGCCTCGGCGGTGCGCTCCCTCCCAGGACGGGAGCAGGCGGCCCCCGCCGCCACTTACCCGCCGGGCCGGAGCTGTCCGCCGCGGCCCCGAGCAGCGCGAGCACCTGCAGCGTCCCCAGGAGCAGCGCGGCCCGGGCACCTCGCGCGCCCAGTCCCATTGTTCCGAGGGCAGGACGCGGCGGCCTCGTGGGTCCCCAACGGAGGTGGCAACAGCGGCCGTTCTGCGCGCTCCAAGCCGCTCCGCGTCCCCTTCCGCCGCGCACGTCTCCCCGCCCCGCCGCCTGCCCCCCGTTTGACCAAATAGGGCGCAGGAGCCGGGCCTGGAGGGGGCGTCGCGCGCGGAGCCCGGGCGGCGGGACCGGGAGGGGCCGGGGCCGGGGCCGGGGGCGGGGCTTGCGGCTCGGGGCGTGGCGACTCCCCTCCTGGCCCTGCCCGCCGGCGCGCGCCTGGGGACCCCCGGACCCGCGAGCCGTTTCCTCTCTCTTCGGAAATAAGTGGCAGTTCGGTTGTCCTGGGTGAAAGCGAGCGCCGCCGCCGCCGCTGCGAATGCAGAGCGCGCCGGGCTTCGCTGGGCCCGGAAGGAAGTCTTGGAAGAGTAGTTTGGGGGGTTGGGGGGACTGGGGCGCGCGCGGCTCAGGGCGAGGGGGAGGAGTTGCAGGCGGGGCCCGCGGAGGAGGAGGGAGGGCGAGGGGAGAAACTTGAGCGGGTGGGATTCCCTCTGAGGAGTCCTGGGTGGTGGGAGCTTGCCCCCGGGATGACCCAGGCTGAGGGGGCAGGGGAGGCAACCGGGTCGACACATTTGTTTTGGAAGTTCAAACGTGCAACATCTAAGATCTCCATACCCCACTTGTACCTCATCTTCTCCACGGGTTCCCGCTATCCCCGGATAAAGACACACCCCGTGCCCCTGCGGAAAGAGATGAGTGGAGTGGGCGGGTTGGGCGCGCGCTGGAGTTGGTAGCCGTGCACACTGAAGTACAGTAGAGGCACCGAGGCCCGGGGCGCATAAATCTAACCCAGCCCCCTTCTCTCTTTGGGGTCTGCCGTCCCAGTTGGATGCATTTATCTTGTTTTTAACAGTTTTTGGCTAAGTTTGTCTTAAACCCTTGGGGCCAGTGCTTATTCGTCTTGACTTGCAGTGCTTGTAAAGTCTATGTTTTGATTTTGCTCAGAACTCTATAGTGACAGCGACCCGAGGCTGATGCCAGAGAACAATAAACATTGAATCCTGGTTTGGGTGGGAACCCTCAGCTGAGATGGGAGGCTGAAGGATCCAGGACAAAACAACCGTGAATCTCCACCGGCAAAGCTTTTAATGTTACTGATCTTTGGCACCTGACCCAGATTTAATGCTATAAAGGCCACATTGCATTTAAGTTCTCAAAACTATGTTATGAGAGGGAACACTTTCTCATCTCAGGCACATCATCAGTATGGACTAATCACAGAGATTGGGGCAGTCTGACTTAAATTGACAAAGACTTCCATCTGTGGATTCAATCCGCCAACTGCAAATACTTGCTAGCATCTACCATGGGCAAAAAGCAAGCATTGCATATTTATTTAGGTTTTGGTTGCTGTAGTGGGAAATCTGGTTTAGCGGTAAACTATTCTGGTGACTACCTATCCCATCATCTAAGCATTTCACAATCCAGGCTCAACCTGTCTTTCCAGCCTTGGTACTGCTGCCAGTGCACAAGGGTGCTCTTTGGCTCCTAGCATCTGCATACATTATTCTTTCTCTGTGAAATGCCTCCCCTATTCTCCACTAGCCCACAGCTAACACTTCCTTTAAGGCTCAGTGTACATGGACCCTGAGAGTCTGGGGTGGAATAAGAGGTCTGAATGTTTGTGTCACCCGGGGATTCATATGTTGAAACCTAATCTCCAACGTGGTGATATTAAACAGTGGGGCCTTTAGGAGGTGATTGGGTCCCTAATGAATGGGATTCCTGCCCTTACAAAAGAGGTCTTCAGGAGCTTGTTTGCCTCTTTTGCCATGTGAGAACTGGCCACAAGGTGCCATCTATAAAGGAGAGAGCTCTCACCAGGCACCAAATTTGTTGGCACCTTGATAGTGGACTCCCCAGCCCCCAAAATTGTGACAATAAATTTCTGTTGTTTATAAATTACCTTGTTGAAGATAAGATATGCAGTTGACAAGTTTTCCTTGGATTGAACTTGATAGAGATACCTTCAGATCTTCTCTGCCGTCTGATTGCCACACGACAGTGTGAGTGGGTATGCCCAGCATTGCTTTGATAGTAACAGCTCAATACTATGGTTTGGCCGTGTTTTCTCTGATCTGAGGAGAGAGGAAAGGGCAAGGAACAGTGTCCTTTCTTACATCTTAGGAACTCTAATGGGAAGTCTGCCCCCGCTGGGGGAAGATATGGCCCCAGTTTGTCTCAGGCTCAGCCTCCATCAATGCACCAACATTTTCTTTGGTGATTTGAAAGGTTAAAAGAACAGCAGGTGCAGCCCTTTGCTGCCTAGGTCTCCCTCTCTCCAGCCTTGTGTTTGGATCCCTGACTATAACCTCACCAGGTCACTCAAAGTTCTCCAAACACGCCAAGACCTTCCCACACCTTGTGTTTTTGCTCTTGATCTTCCCTTTGCCCAAGATGCCTTCTGATCTTTTCTTGTAGGCAGTTTTCACTCATCTCTCAAGATTCCTTTCACGTCTCATCTTCTCCCCAACCGTCGAGGCAGATTTTAGCGCTCTCATCGCTCTGCTCATACTTGTATCAACTTGGTCTCCTCACTTCTACCATCATTCACTACGATCTGTTATCCACACAGCAGCCAGCGTGATCCTTTTAAAATACAAGCCAGATCGTGCCATTCCCCTGCCACCTTCAAGAGTCCAAAACCATGACCTGCAAGGCCTATGTGGCATGGTCCTTGGCTGCCCTTCCCTCCTCACTTTCTATCCTCACTCCCTCTTCGCTTGCTGAGCTCCAGCATCCTTGTGATGAGTTAGAGATGTCAAGTCAGTGCCCATCCCAGAGCCTGGGCATGGGCTGCTCCCTCATGCTATTCGGGTTTCTGCTCATCTCAGAAATGCTTTTCTTGAAATTCCTCATTTACAGCTCTACTTGTCTTTGTGGCATCTAGCACTCTATCCATCATTATGCTCATTTATATGTTTTTTGTTTGTCTCTTCTACAAGGATAGAGGGTCCGTGAAAACAAAAGACTGTCTGTATATATTTTGGTCTAGCTCCTATCACATATTGCTACAGTCCACTGGACACTGGTCATGTAAATCACTTTCTTTTTTTAGAACTCAGATTTACAGCCTCCCTTGCAAGTGGGGTCAAGAATGTGATCTAGGCTCTACCAATCAGGCTTATCTTCATGAAATTAAATTCAGGTATAAGCAACCAGAGGAAACAGGCTGTGTGTAGAGTTTCCAGTCTTCCTGTTATAACATGCTGCATGAATAGAAGCAGAGGGGGGCTGGCTTTGTTGACAGTGCTAGCAGCAACTTGTGAGAAGCACTAGTTTTTCAGTGATTGCAAGATTGAGTTTCTGATGCAGAAGTGGCTGGGTGGAGAGCTGCAATGGAAGCCATTTCCTCATTGGGCTAGATCTGCAGTCGTGTTTTGCAGTATTCCTGGAGGCTTGGCCTCAGTCCTGAATCTCTACACCTTCCAACAATCCTGATAACTACTCCATATCTTCAATACACTCCTTTTCTGCTACATCAGCAAGAGTCAGTAGCTTTTGTTTTTCACAACTAAGGATCCTGACTTTATGTGACTATTTGTCTTTTTTACCCTAGCAGGCTACAATCTCCATTATATGATTTACGAAATATTTATTCAGTGCTTGCTATGTGATGGACAATGTCCTCACAGTTATAGTTTAGTGGCAGGGCAGATACATAGACAATTACACTAGAGTGTGATAAATGCTCTGATGGGACAATGGGAAAGCAGACGTTGGAGTCATGGTCTATGTCTTCATCTTTGTACTAGAGGGTCTAACACCTTTCTCATCATATAGAAGGCATTTAATTTATATTTGTAGAATGAGTTTGGGGTGGAGATAAACAGCACAGCAAAACATGGGTACTCTTCTCTCTAAATGATGTTCTCTTCTTATTCATCCCGTGGTTCCTGTATGTCTCAGTCTTTGACTTAGGGTCACCCAAGGGTGGACCAGAGGTTGGAATCACTATTCACTTACTCAATAAGTCAATATTTATTAATTGAACACATGACATGTATCAGGCACTATGCTAGGTGCTGCGAAACAACAAGGAATAACACATATCTACCTATCTTCTAAAAAGCCCCCAGTGAGTGGTTTAGAATTGAGTTGGTTTCTATTCATAGAGACAGAAAGAATGGTGATTGCCAAGGGTAGGGAAGAGGGGGGTGGAAGGAGAGTTTTGTTTAATGAGTACAGAGTCTTAATTTTGCAAGATGAAAAGAGTTACAAAGATGGATGATGGTGAAGGTTACATGAAAATGTGAATGTACATGACACTACTGAACTGTACACTTAAAATGGCTAAGATGGAAAATTTTATGTTATGTGTATTTTACCACAATTAAAAATTCCACCCCTCCAAAAGAACCACACATGAATAATAAATTTTAAAATAGTGATAAGAAAAAAAAAGTGAGTTGGTTGCTAGATGAAAATGGCAAAAACTGCTTCTGTTATGATTGTACAGAGGATAAACAGATTTTGTGTTTCCCAAGTGAAACTTACTTGTGTCACACAGTAAATTTTTGTTTGTTTAAAAAGAAACAGGTGACAGAAGAAGGCTCATCTGGTTTGACGTCCACAGATAATTACCTACTAGCTATGTATAAATCAGTATGTTAATAAATCAATATTTGCATGAGCAAAGAATCAGAATCTGCCTGGCTTTGAGACTGAAGTAGCTGCAAATAAGGAAAGGCAGTGGAGAGATTTAACAAAAGAGTGTAAATTGGCCTGTGTCCATTGCCCTGTTTCTGCCAATTTCCTGTCAACTCCTATTTTAGTGGATTGACAGCATGTTATAAACTGCGATTAAGTCTTCACAATGAAAGCTGATTTGCTGGGCTTCTGCCCCATTCCTGAACCTCTGCGTCCTTTCCTAGCTCTGTTTGCTAGAGCCCCGATTTTTCTTACACTTTCTTCCCTCTCCTTTTAGTTTTTCATTCTTGCTTCTTCCTTCAGAGAACAAACTGCAGCCAAACTCTGAATCTATATAATTAATCAAAGAGAATTTATTGGGTATCTACTTTGGGTCCAAAACCGTATAGAATTCTCAGATTCAGTCAAGAGCAAAAGAAAAAACAAAACAAGCAAAACTAAAGATAAACCAAAAATAAGCAGAGAACAATGAACTACTAC